TCATTTGAGTGAATTATTTCATTATTAGGGGAAATTCTGAGACTTTGTCACATTTTATCTAGTTAATTGGGGGATAATGTATGAAAAAGTTTGAAAACCATCAACTGTATGTCATCAACAGGTTAAAACTTTAGGTCAACTGAAATCCCAAGTAAAATTGTAAAACATGCAATTCTTTGAGGTTGAGGATCCTTGGTTTCCCTGAGCAAACTCGCACTGAGAGTTACTATGGAGTATATGTATACTTGAGGATAACATGGGTTTGAAGGAATTATGCAAATAATAGAGGTGTTTATTACAATGCGATGGGATTTTACTATGTGTTTATTCGATTGAACCATAATCATCAGGATAATAGGATCGTAGGGGCTGAAATTCCAATTTCGTGCTGCTTTAGGCTCAATTTTAAGAGAAACTAGGTATTTGGAAGATCATGCATTTTTCTTTGTTTTGTTGCTTTAGTAAAACCCGAGCCTATTTCTCTCTGCAAAAAGGAAGACTATAATTACGTTTGCATTTGTATAGGAAATTATGGCGATACCATACTCTAAATGGATCCTAATAAAGACTTTCACTTTAGAAGGAATAGCTTAACCACTTACCTATGCTCGCAAGATGGAAGTTTCCAAATAGTCGGTTTTCAATTGTCGAGGGTTAATGCCCTCTACTACATCTTGCATCCCCATGTATCATGATAATAAGATGTCCATCCCTCCCATTCATCACTGCTTTCGCACCACGGCTTTCTGTAAGATAGAGAAAACTCCTTTCCCAGTCGATCGATTCGAACCTGCAGCTCCAGACCTCCAATGTTCTGATTCCATACTGATGATGAGTCTCTTTCCTTCCATTCTTGACAGCTAAATGTTGAGTGTATAAGCACAATTGTTAAACTAATATTTATAGAGTAGTTAGGAAAAACTAGTCATTTAGAGATCTAGGCCTTTATTACATGCCATAAAGAGAGGAATCCAGTTGACTGTCCATTACATATGCTACAAGTGCAACTGTTTTGACTGCCCATTACATATGCTACAAGTGCAGGCCAACAGCTGATGATGGTTGCTAATTCTTAATTCTTGATCGTTAATTAGTTACTTTACATGTTGTTGTCATCAAACTTTGCAGGTAATATAGTCGGGCTTTGTCCATTCCTAATTTCCAATGGTGAACCCTGTTCGTTTTTCTTAGTGGTTGATGATCCTTATTGGGCAAGGTTACATACAGCCCTAGCTAGGCAAGGTGCCAGACCAAGCACCTAGAGCCAAGGTGCTTAGACAGGATCCTAGGTGGTTTTCATATTTTTTATTTTTTAGTTACAATAATTAATAATAAATGCTACTGTTATAAAAAGTGTTAGGCACCACTAGGCGTCGGACTGGTGCTTAGCGGCTAGGCGGATTTATTTTTTTATTTAAGTGGTGGTGGATAAGGTTTTTTTGAAAGTCGGAGGAGGTGGAGGGGGTATTCATAGTTCATGGAGGAGGGCGCTAGGCACCTAGGCATCTAGGCGGATTTCTTTCTTTGTTTAAATGGTGATGAAGGAGGTTTTCTGAAAGTCGGAGGGGGTGGAGGAGGTGTTCATATTTAGTGGTGGAGACTAGAGGAGTTCAGAGAGGTTTAGGAGACTTGGAGGCTGTAATGGAGGAAATCACGGCCAAGACTTAAGTTGTGCAGTTTGCATAAACAGCTCGCACTTCCCTAGACACTTTCGAGACCTGGGTGGGCAGCCTACATACCGTCAAGCAATGTTTGAAAAAACCTTTTTGGAACTTGCTCTGAAACTTGCTTTGAAACTTTTTTAAGGGTAAATGCTTCAAAGCTCAAGAGTACAACTATGTATCTCTTAAAGCTTACGCCTCATCGCTTAAAACGTTATTGAAGTGTGCATTTCACGCTTCATAAAGCGTTTTTCTTTTAAAGCACACGCTAGACAAGATAGAAAGATATAAAAATATTTTTACTAACATTAGTGTGTCCCTAGGTATCTTCAATATGACTATGTGGCTATAAATAAGATATATATGTTATGCATGCAGCTTAGTTTGTTGTGATTTGTGTCTATACTTCACATATTTAATTCTTATCTACTAATTAGGACATGAGTATATCTATTTGTAAATTATTATATATCTATTTGTAAATTATTATTCCACTATATGTTATATGTTTGTAGTTTTTGTAGATTTTAAAATTAAAATACTTAAACTCATGAGGCTTACACCCACACTTTGAAGCTTACGTCTTGCTTCATTAAAGGGTCTAACACTTCACCTTGCGCTTCCGTTTGTTTAAATATTTGCACCTAGGCATAGGTGGGCTAGGCGCCCGTTTTTTAAAACATCATTATTAGGTCTCTCTTCTACTAGCTCCTAGACATTAATGTTTCTGTTTGTGGCTTCTTGAATGTGCAACATAAACTATATATGGATATCAATGAAGCCGAGAGCATGGTGTTGTCCAAGTACATAGCTTATCTAGTTCAGGTGGATGTACTAAAAGGTCTTGGGATATACAACCCTGGTCCTCAACGCACTTGATCTCATTATCAGTAATTCTGACTAAATCTTCAGAGTTTTAGCAAACGTACAGGGTATCTGAGATCGTCAGCTCACAAGAGGCAGCAGTGGTGTCTTTCCTTAACTCTTCTTTTTCACTGAAGCATGGATGTATCTATTTCAATCAGGATCATACTTGGAGCTCAACTTTGAAAAAGCGAGTTTTGGATATACAAAGGGCCTATAACTTTGGTTTCCACATTTGTGATTTCCCTATAAGTTAAATCTTTCTGTCCATTGTGGTTTTAATATCGAAAAACTAGAAGCAGTGAAGTAATTGGATTTGTAATAATCCAAGTAGTTGGTTCCCTATCCATTTCGATAAACTTGTGTAAATATGTTTTCTTGCAGATTTAGAATTGAGGTTATTGTGACTATGATTGGGGTGTGTGTGCGTGCGGGTGTGGTGGTGATGCTGGTGGTTGGGGGGTTTACCCTTATACCATGGATGCTCTTTCGGTTGGGCTTAGTGGCACCCGACCATGGGCCAAATATAGTCTGTTGGGTTGTTTATTTACATTTTAGGGCTAGCAGTGGCAGGAAAATCTCGAAAGATTTGAATTTATGTGAAATCAAGCTTTAGTTTTTGTATTATGCCCATGCTGATAATTCCTAGCAATTGCACATGATCTTCATATTGGACTGAGCGGGCATTTTATATCACTGACTTAGTGTGTGTTATACTGGTTAAAGAAGTGCAATTGCATTATTCTAGAAAGATAGTCGGTAATTGCTAATTTAAGGTCTTAACCAAGTGTCCGGCTTGTTTTTATTTCTTTCTACACTCTTATCATTTGACGGCTTTCTGTAGCCAGAGCCAATGATCTACTTGCACCAGATCTGCAGTGTTTTCAATTCTTTCTATGTTTCTGCCAGGGCGAGTGCTGAAGATGGTCCTTGTTGCATGATTGTTATATTAATTTGATTCATGGGTATTGTACTTTGATCTGGCTTTCCTGTACTCATTTCATGGCAATGCTGACTCTTTATTATGTCTTTAATCTTATAGAATCATGGAATCAAGCAAATGTTCCCCCATTAAACAGTTGAAATGCAAACAAAACTTTATACTAGTTTACTCAACTTTTCTCAAAACTTTTTGACTTCCTTAACAATCTATGCTGGTGATTTTGTTTATTCTTAAGTAATCAATTTTCCATGAATAGATTTTATTGAATATGTTTTATATATTTATGTTTGCTGAATGCGGATAAGGCCTCTAAATGCTGCTTTCTGAAGTCATGTATCCTATCTATTAATGATAGGAATGTTTATTATTTACCTTCCATTTTTATGGCTGAAGCTGTATGCACACATATTCATTTGAAATTGATTAGAACAACTTAGAAACCTTAAGATGAAACAGACTTAGATAGAAACACACACATAATAGGAAGGAAAATTTATGACAACACCAGCAACAAACATAAGAGAACCAGATTGTTAAATTATGGAGGAATAAAAGCGGGCACTAAACCACTAACATGCCTCACAATCTGGAGACAGAACAAATGGACATATTTGCTGTCGTATCGTTTCTTATATGATGAAGCCTTCTGGCTGAAATCAGATCCAAATCTTTTTCATGACATCTTGCTAGGTACTGGAGTGACCTCTTTCTCAATCACTACCATTTATCATTTACTGACGGTTATTATGATTTTCCTTGATTAACAAATAGAGCTAAGTGCAATTTAGGAGGGAGGATATATCATTAGTTAGGTTAGAAATTACTCGCAGCGGCCTATATATTATTATAGTTATGGTTAGGAGAGGATGGAAATCCTCTGGAAATCTTTCCGATATGAATAAACAACACTGACATATGCTGTGGATACTAGATAGTAACCTTTCATTGGTAGATTAACATCAGGATAGGCTGCAATCCTCTCCACCTCCTGATTATGTTTGCACAACATAACTCAATTACAGCATCCTTTTTTGATGCATCATAGCATTAGTGTTGACAGACCATTTAGGAAAAGGAAATCCATGACATAATTAACATTTTATCTAAGATTGAACTAAATGATTGCCATTTTAGTGGAGGCAGGTGATTTGGTCAATAGGGTAGAGATATGCAACCACATTTGATGTAAACATGTAACTTTTTCACCCAGAGAGGGACCCTTTAAATATTTAAGAATTTTAAAGATTTGTAATTGCACATAATTTTATAATCTAGGAATAGTAGTTTAAATGTAGTCTTAAACTAAAAGATTATTAGTCTTACTCAAAGAAGGTCAAACTATTCATTACCTGTGTTAGATTGCAACAATCTTACTTTTGGTTGTTTGTTGTATCGAACATTTCTTTCTATAATCTAAGTTCTTTATTCATGCTAATTTAGGAACTTTTCATGCCTTTAGGCTGA